GAAAGAAAGAAATGACTAAATATAGAGATAAATAAATTCAGACATAAATAACAATACCATACAGAAAGAAATACTGTTGAGACTCACTGCTGTGTCCCTTTAACAAGCAACCCTGAAACTCCTAGGTTCAATATCCAATTAGACACGATGAGACGATGAGATCAGGTACAACAGATTTATTTGATCACATCTTTCTGATGGGTCGTCAAGGAAAAGAAAGTGCCACACTCTGAGAACGCTGCTCAGGGGGTTTTATAGTCAAAGGTTTTAAGCATGTGCACACAAAATATTTCATTCGCTCTTCTTTTTCCCCTTTGTTCTCTTTTGGTGCCTCCTTATCAGCAGTTTACAACAGAAATTGACAACAACAATTTCCTGGCTCTTGCTGGCTTGCAGGTAATCAAATACTTTGAACTTTCTCACCTTTCATCAGTCCTTCCCCTGTTGCTTTGACTAGAAAGTTTCTATCAGCCCCCCCCCCTTTTTTTTTTTGTCTAAATCTTTCCTGGCTTAGTACTATTCTCCATTTTCCTTTATTTCTCTTTCCCCAGTCCTTCAACACATATAAAAGTTCAAGGTTTCCCCTTACATTAAGTCTAGTTGTGTCCTACTCTGAGGGGTGGTACTCATCTCAATTTCTAAGCTAAAGAGCTGCCATTGTCCATAGACACCTCCAAGGTCATGTGGCCAGTATGACGGCACGGAGTGCCTTTACCTACCTGCAGAATTATTTATTTCCTATATTTCTACCCCTCCCTTCTCACCTCCGAGGGGGGATTCAGGGTGGCCTCACAAAAGCATCATAGGATGCTGAAGCAGTACCTATTAATCTACTCACATTTGCATGTTTTCGAACTGCTATATTTATATAGAAACATATTCATGTAGGACTAAAGGACAGAATATAGAGACAAATTAACAAAGAAAGAAATAAGTATAGAAATAAATACATCTAGAAAGAATATAATATGGAAAGAAATGACTAAATGTAAAGAGATATAGCAGAAATAACAGAAATGCAGAAATAACTAAATAATATGATATAGAAGTAAAATAGAGAAATAAATAAATATAGGTATAAAGGACTAAATGTAGAGGTGACGAAATGAAAATAGAAATAAATAAATATGTAAATAATAGAACATAGAAAGAAATAGGCACAGAAATTACTAACTGTAGAGGCAAATAAATTACCATAGAAATAAATACAAACATATAGAAGTAATACAATATAGAAGGAAAATAGGTAGAGAACTCAACCAATATAGGAATAAACTTGCACTCTATGTCTAACTTTTGTATTTTAATATGTATTTTATGGCAATATGTTTTAATATGTATATACTACAGAGTGTTTTTAAATGATTATGTGTTTCCGCAATGCTTGAGCCACAAGGAAAGGCGGGTAAGAAATGAAATAATTATAATTATTATATACAAAGAAATCCATATAGAAATACTGAAAGAAAGAAGCACAACCTCACAATCTCTGAGGATGCCAGATGTTGGTGAAACATCAGGAGAGAATGCTTATGTAACATGGCCATACAGCCTGGAAAACTCAGAACAACCCAGCGACTCCGGCCATGAAAGCCTTTAATGACACAATAATAATAATAATAATAATAATAATAATAATAATAATAAATCTTTATTTATATGGGAATAAACAAACATACATAGAAATAAATAAATATTGTGGGGATCCTATATCTATCTATATCTTAGTGAATGTATGTATGTATGAGGCAGTGCGGCGATGCTTCTTGCAGCTTTCCAATTGGCTCCCACTTCCACAGGCCACTGCGACCCCCCACAAATGATGGACCTGGACTAAACTTGGCATACAGACCCTCCATGACCAACAGAACACACTGGAGGGGTTTCGTGGGGTGGGATGGGGGGGGGGTAGGGGAAAGAACTGACTACCCAAGGTGGGAGTTATAGTTCACCCTGCATCCTGAGAGACCTCTGAAGCCTACCAATGACAGATCTGGACCAAATTTGGCACACAGAATCCTGAAGACCAACTGAACATACTGGAGGGGTTTGGGGGCAGGGACCGACCCACAAGGTGGGAGCTGCAGTTCACCCTGCATCCAGAAAGCATTCTGAAGCCTAGCAATGATGGACCTGGAACAAACTTGGCACTCATGGAGGGGGGGCTCCATGACCAAGAGAACATACTAGAGGGGTTTCATGGGGCGGGGAAGGAACTGACCCACTAAGGTGGGAGTCATAGTTTACACTGTAACCAGAGACCCTTCTGAAGCCCACCAATTACAGATTTGGACCAAACTTGGTACACAGAACTTCTGTGTCTAACAGAACATACAGCAGGGGGTTTGTTGAGGATGGATGGGGCTAACCCACCCAGAAGGAAGGAAGTTGTACTTCACCCTGCATCCAGAGAGCATTGTGAAGCCCACCATAGAATCATAGAATCATAGAGTTGGAAGAGATCTCATGGGCCATCCAGTCCAACCCCCTGCCAAGAAGCAGGAAAATTGCATTCAAAGCGCCCCAACAGATGGCCATCCAGCCTCTGTTTAAAAGCTTCCAAAGAAGGAGCCTCCACCACACTCCGAGGCAGAGAGTTCCACTGCTGAACTGCTCTCACAGTCAGGAAGTTCTTCCTAATGTTCAGATGGAATCTCCTCTCTTGTAGTTTGAAGCCATTGTTCCACGTCCTAGTCTCCAGGGAAGCAGAAAACAAGCTTGCTCCCTCCTCCCTGTGGCTTCCTCTCACATATTTATACATGGCTATCATGTCTCCTCTCAGCCTTCTCTTCTTCAGGCTAAAAACATGCCCAGCTCCTTAAGCCGCTCCTCATAGGGCTTGTTCTCCAGACCCTTGATCATTTTAGTCCCCCTCCTCTGGACACATTCCAGCTTGTCCATATCTCTCTTCAATTTGTGGTGCCCAGAATTGGACACAATATTCCAGGTGTGGTTTAACCAAAGCGGAATAGAGGGGTAGCATGACTTCCTAGATCTAGACACTATGCTCCTATTGATGCAGGCCAAAATCCCATTGGCTTTTTTTGCCACATCACATTGTTGGCTCATGTTTAACTTGTTGTCCACGAGGACTCCAAGATCTTTTTCACATGTACTGCTCTCGAGCCAGGCATCCCCCTCAAAACAGAGAGATGCTTTGGAATATGGACTATTGTTTCTAAAGAAGGTGTCCTGTGTTACCTACACAGAGAAACTATTTAAAATCATTCTGAATTCTGCTCATGTCCTCTGGAGTATTGGCTCTCCCTCCAAATTTTGTGTTGTCTGCAAACTTGATGATCATGCCTTCTAACCCTTAATCTAAGTCATTAATAAACATGTTGAACAGGACCAGGCCGAGGACAGAACCCTGCGGCACTCCACTTGTCACTTCTTTCCAGGATGAAGAGGAAGCATTGGTGAACACCCTCTGGGTTCGTTCATTTAACCAATTACAGATCCACCTATCCGTAGTTTTGCCTAGACCACATTGGACTGGTTTGTTTGCCAGAAGGTCATGGGGGGCCTTGTCGAAGGCCTTACTGAAATCCAGGTATGCTTCATCCATGGCATTCCCCGCATCTACCCAGCTTGTAACTCTATCAAAAAAAGAGATCAGATTAGTCTGGCACATAATAATATAAAAATAATCCTACACCTGTTGATAAACTCTACAAGCTAGCTGGCATTGCCACCCTTGATATGTGATGGGAAGTTGCTGCTAAATGTGAAAGAAATAACGTTGAACAGTGTGAAAGCCACCCACAACATTGCTACCAGCCTCCTCCCAGTAGACTCAAATCAAGGAAAAGTTTTATGAGAACTACCACTCCTCTTGGCGTCCTTCCAGCCATAGCAAGGGTATCCCTCTGGGCAGCTAAATCAGAAAATCCCAACTGGATGGTCCCCTGAGAGGGTCTTCTTCCAGGGGCAAACCAAGAATGGGCAACCTGGAAGTCCCTGAATAGACTCAGAAGCGGAGTGGGCAGATCAAAAGACAACCTGGCAAAATGACACTACCTAAAAGAATCCCATACCTTGTGTGACTGTGGAGCAGAACAGACAACTCTGCATCTGTATTCTTGTCCATTGTGCCCTGCCTCATGTACAGAGGAGGAATTGTTGGAGACTATAAACAATGCTGTTGCTGTTGCCTGTTTTTGGTCAAAAGATATTTAGCCACCTGTGCTCCTTCTATTTTTTTCAGTTTTATGCTAATTTATGCATTGATTTTGATACTAAAATAAAAAAATAAGGTCTGGCACAGACATGCAACGGGGGGGGGGGGGGGGGGGGGGCTTCAGGGGCTTCAGCCCCCGGTGGCGCAGTGGGTTAAACCCCTGTGCCAGCAGGATTGAAGACCGACAGGTCGCAGGTTTGAATCCAGGGAGAGGTGGATGAGCTCCCTCTATCAGCTCCAGCTTGAAAGGACATGAGAGAAGCCTCCCACAAGGATGATAAAACATCAAATCATCCGGTGTCCCCTGGGCAATGTCCTTGTGCAGACGGCCAATTCTCTCACACCAGAAGCGACTTGCAGTTTCTCAAGTTGCTCCTGACCCGACAAAAAAAAAGCCCCCTCCCCCTTGAAAGTCTCAGGGTGGTCTGCAAGAAGGCCTTACTGGTACATTATTTACACTGTTATGTTTATTCATATCATGATCTGATCACCATGCTCAATATATCCCATATGTATGGGGTATTGAGGTAACGATACAAAAGGTTTGCTAGGGTAGATCTTCTCTCACTCAGACTCCCCCCCCCCCCCCCCCAAAAAAAAATCAAAATCCTGGCTACGGGCCTGGTCTTGCATGACTTGTTTTTGATAAATCCATGTTGACTATTAGTGATGGTGGATCTGGACCAAACTTGACACACAGAACCCCGAAGACCAAGTAGACATCCTGGATGGATTTGGGGGGTTAGGGGTGGACTGACCCTCCAGGGTGGGAGTTATAGTTCACTCTGCACCCTGAACAGCACCCTGAACCGCACTGAAGATGGATCCCGACCAAGTTTGTGGCTGACTGACCCACCATTTTTGGTTACCCCCATCCTTCTGCATTTCCTAAGGGGAGCATTCATTAAAAGCGAGTATATAAATAAGGAAGGGGCGGTGGGCTGTCCCTGCTTTGGCTGAGAGCGAAGAGGAGGAGAAAGAGGAGGCCAAAAGGGACGCGGCTCTCCTCCTTCCCTCTCTTCCGCCGCCTGTTTGGCTCCAGCGAGGAAGGACGGGGCGTGACTAGACGACGGCGACGAAGAAGCAGAAGCAGAAGCAGGAGGAGGAGGAGGAGGAGGAGGAGGGCCGTCTCCCGGCGCGGACAGGTTGCCTCTCGCCGAGGCTGGAGCTGCTGCCCTCGCCGTGGGGTCCCGCCCGCTCGCCTCCTCCGCCACCGCTGCCCCTGCCTCGCCTGCCCCCCGCGCTCCTTTGGGCAGAGCACTATGTCCGGAGCGACCTGCGGGCAGCCGGGCAGCCCCCTCCTCCTCGCGGGGCACGCCGCCCTCCGCCGCCCGCGGAGCTGGAGCTGCTAACGCGGACCCCGCACTGGCCGCCCGGGCACAGCCTGCCCCGCAGAGAGACCCCCGCCGCCCCCGCCGCCACTGCCACCACCGCCACCGCCTCCACCAACAGCCTCGCCACCAGCCCCACCCGCAGCAGCAGCACCACCAGCGACGGGGAAGGAGGAGGAGGAGGAGGAGGGGGCAGCACCAGCAGCTCGGGCTCGCTCAGCACCATGGACCTCTCCTTCATGGCCGCCCAGGTAAAGCCCCCTCCCAGGCAGGGCATGCGCGGAGGGGGAGCGGGAAGCGGTGCCCTTGCGAAGGGGGTGGGCTCGGGGGCCCCAGAGGGGTGGATGATGGGTCTGCCCATCCTTCCAATATTACTACTACTACTACTACTACTACTGTTCTATTGAAGTAATGATGATGATGATGATGATGATGATGATAGGCAGCATTGCCTTTGTGAAGAGTGATGGGCTTGGTAACTCCAGTGGCGTGGATGATGGGTCTGCCCATCCTTCCAATATTATTATTATTATTATTATTTTGTAGAAATAATAATATATTTGAAGGATGTGCAGACCCATCATCCACGCCACTGGAGTTACCAAGCCCATCACTCTTCACAAAGGCAATGCTGCCTATCATCATCATCATCATCATCATCATCATTACTTCAATATTATTACAATGAGTGATAATAGTATATGTAATAATAATAAATTATATTGGAAGGATGGGCAGATCCATCATCCACGCCACTGGAGTCACCAAGCCCAAGAGTGATGGGCTTGGTGACTCCAGTGGTGTGGATGATGGATAATAATAATTATTATTATTATTACTACTCTTCTATTGTAATAATAATAATAATCCATTGTAATAGTAATAATAATAATAATAATAGACAGCATTGCTTTTGTGAAGAGTGATGGGCTTGGTGACTCCAGTGGCGTGGATGGTGGATCTGCCCATCCTTCCAATATTATTATTATTATTACTCTTCTATTGTAATAATTATATCTATTGTAATAAAAATAATAAGCAGCATTGCCTTTGTGAAGAGTGATGGGCTTGGTAACTCCAGTGGCGTGGATGATGGGTCTGCACATCCTTCAAATATATTATTATTTCTATTATTATTTTGTAGAATAATAATAATAATAATGGGCAGCATTTCCCTTGTAAAGCGTGATGGGCTCTGTGGTCATTATATTGTAGAATAATAATAATATTGCAGAATAATAATGTAAAATAATAGTAGTAATAATTGGGCAGCATTGGCCTTGTGAAGCATGATGGGTTCTGTGGTCCAAAATATTATTATTATTATTATTATATTGTAGAATAATAATAATATTGTAGAATATTAATAATAATAATAATGCAGAACAATAATAATAATAATAATAATAATAATAATAATAATTGGGCAACATTGCCCTTGCGAAGCATGATGGGCTCTGTGGTAGGAAATATTATTATTATTATTAATATTATATTGTAGAATAATAATAATACTGTAGAATAATAATAATAATAATAATAATAATAATAATGGGCAGCATTGCTCTTGTGACGCATTATGGGCTCTGTGGTAGAAAACATTATTATTATTATTAATATTATATTGTAGAAGAATAATAATATTGTAGAAGAAGAATAATGTGCAGCATTGCCCATGTGACGCGTGATGGGCTTTGTAGTCCAAATTATTATTATTATACTGTAGAATAATAATAATAACAATAACAATAACAATAATAATAATAATAATAATAATGGGCAGCATTGCCCTTGTGAAGCGTGATGGGCTCTGTCGTCCAAAATATTATTATTATTAATATTATATTGTAGAATAATAATATTAATATAGAATAATAACAATAATAATAATGTAGAATAATAATAATTGCCCTTGTGAAGTGTGATGGGTTCAGTGGCCCCAGTGGCGTGGATGAATAGTCTGTTGATCCTTCCAAATTATTATTATTATTTTATTATTATGTATAATAATGATAATAATAATGGACAGCATTGCCCTTGCGAAGAGTGATGGGCTCTGTGGCTTCAATAGGGTGGATGATGAGTCTGCCGATCCTTCCAATATAAAAAAATTATTATATTGTATAATAATAATAATATTATTATTATAATGTATCATTATTTTGACATTATTAACTTTATACCCCGTCTTTTTCCTCCTAACCAATATTATACCACATATTGTACCATGTTATAAAAAATTATTTTTATGGCCCACTTCACCTGTCAACAACCAGTTGCTTGCTTTGGTTCTGGTTAACTGAGAGTCTACTGTATTTTATATTATTATTATCATTATACGTCATTTTTACCCCACCTTTTTCCCCTTATGAGAATTCAAGGTGGCAAATGTATCAACTTAGATTAGAGAAAAGTGTTTGGTGGCCTTTTATTTGTTGGGGGTGTATTGTGAAGGTTCTGTTGTCTTTTTGCAGGAAGAAAAAATACGATAATTGTGTGTTTTGATCATTGGTTTGGTTTAATTGGGAAAGTGCGTGATTCACCTTCTTCTCTGGAGAAGTACCTTTTACGTATATGTTGTCATTTCTGGCATATGATTGCCCTAAGGGTTTTCTTGGTAAGGTTTTTATTAAGATAATTTTGATGAAGAATTTCTTGTTGTTGTGTGTCTTCAAGTCATTTCCAACGTATGGTTGTTCTAAGGGGGAACTATAACAGGGTTGTCTTGGCCAGATTCTTTCCGAAAGGTGTTGCCTTTGCCCTCCTCTGAGGTGAGAGGGTGTGACTTGCTCAAAGTCATCCAGTGGATTTTCTTGGCCAGTGAGGAATTAAAACTCTAATCTCGAGAGTCAGAGTCCAACATTGAAACCACGACACCATGCTGGCTCTCTTTTAATCATTTTTTTTAAATACACTCTAGCCATTGTTGAAGGCTTTCATGGTCGGAATCACTGGGTTGCTGAGAGTTTTCCAGGCTGTATGGCTGTGTTCCAGAAGCATTCTCTCCTGATATTTCGCTCACATTTATGGTGGGTGTCTTCAGAGGTTATGAGGTCTATTGGAAACTAGGAAAGGAGAGTGTATATACATTCTGGAATGTCCAGAATGGGAGAAAGAATTCTTGTCTGTTTGAGACAAGAGTGAATGTTGCAATTGGCCAACTTGATTAATAATAATAATAATAATAATAATAATAATAATAATAATCCTTTATTTATACCCCGCTAGCATCTCCCGAAGGACTTGATGCGGCTTACAAAGGCCAAGGCCTCAACACAACAACAGCAAAACAATAGGTTCTTGTGGGTTTTTTTCGGGCTATAGAGCCATGTTCTAGAGGCATTTCGCCTCTAGAACATGGCCCTATAGCCCGAAAAAAACCACAAGAACCTAGTGATTCCAGCCATGAAAGCCTTCGACAATACATATAACAACAATAAAACAACAATAAATAACTCATAAAAGCAAAAACAATACAATAATAACACAACACATTTTAAAAACCTGTGGCAGGGCCAAATGTAAGAATTAAAAATGTAAAAATGCTGGGCATGTCCAAGGGAAATAGGAGGGATATTTTTGGGATAGGCGGGCGTGCAGACAATTCTAAGTCTGTATTGAATAGCCTAGCAGCTTCAAAGCCTGGCTGCTTTCTGCAAGGTGGGAGGTGTTACCACAACTCTAACAAGCACTATGTCAGACTACACAGAGAAGCAACTGAAATCCGCAAGCACGTGGACAATTTCAAGAGAAAGGAGAAAACCATGAAAATGAACAAAATCTGACTACCAATATTAAAAAAAAACCTCTAAAATCAGGACAATAAATAAAGAGCAAGACACAAAAAACAGGGGAATTCCAGACAGGAAACAACCAGGGCCAGCTAACACCTTCTAACAAAGGATTCCCCCAGGCAGGAAGCAGGCAGGCTTTGAAGCTGCAAGGCCATTCAGTGCTAATCAAGGTGATTCATTGCAACATTCCCCCTTCGAGGTCAGCTAACACCTCCTAACAAAGGATTCCCCCAGGCATCAACCAGCCAGGCTTTGAAGCTGCAAGGCCATTCAGTGCTAATCAAGTGGCCAATTGCAACATTCACGCTTGCCTCAAGCAGACAAGAGTTCTTTCTCTCACCTTGGACATTCCACAGATATATAAACCCCACTTGCCTAGTTTCCAACAGACTTGACAACCTCTGAGGATGCCTGTCATAGATGTGGGTGAAACGTTAGGAGAGAATGCTTCTGGAACATGGCCATACAGCTTGGAAAACATACAGCAACCCATTGGAAGAAAGTTGGAAGTCTTTTTGGTTGTCTTTTCTGTCTTCTTAAGTATACAATACATGCTCTTATTCCCCACTACTTTATTGCATGTAGAAAATTCTTATGAGCTGGTGTGATATAGTAGTGGATTGAACTCTAGACGACAACTCTGAAGTCCAGGGTTTGACTCAATCATGGAAACCCACTGAGTGACTCCAGACAAGTCATGTATTCTTAGCCTCAAAAGCAACCCTCCTCTGTCCAAATCTGACCAAGAAAATGCCATGAATGTTGCCTTAGGATTGCTACAAATCAGAAACAAAGGCACACAAGAAGAAAATCTTAATACAAATTAGCTTGAACTGATTGGAGGGGTGTGTGTATTTTTAATTATAACTAGCCATCCCTTGCCACACGTTGCTGTGGCCCACATGGGGGGTTCTGTGTGGAAGGTTTGGCCCAATTCTGTCATGGGTGGGGTTCAGAATGCTCTGTGATTGTAGGTGAACTATACATCCCAGCAACTACAACTCCCAAATATTGAGATTCTATTTTCTCCAAACTCCACCAGTGTTCACTTTTGGGCATATTGAGTATTCGTGTAGAGTTTGGTCCAGATCCATCATTGTTTGACTCCACAGTGATCTCTGGATGTAGGGGAACTACAACTTCAAAAGCAAAGAACATTGCCCACTAAGCCCTTCCACTATTTTCTGTTGGTCATGGGAGTTCTGTGTGCCAAGTTTGGTTCAATTCCATAGTTGGTGGGGTTCAGAATGCTCTTTGATTGTTGCTGAAGTATAAATCCCAGCAACTACAACTCCCAAATGACAAAATCAATTTTTTTTAGTGCAGAACATACATTGGGTTGTTAGGTGTCTTGTGTCCAAATTTGGTGTCAATTCATCCAGTGGTTTTTGAGTTCTGTTAATCCCACAAACGAACATTACATTTTTATTTATATAGATTTGTATTAAGAATTTCTT